ACTACTTTCAAGTGAACTTCTCTCGCATCATTTACTTGTTTAAGTGGGACTCGTTTGAAAGATTGAAGTGTTTTCAACATGTGTAAAAGGTATGAAACTACTTTCAAGTGAACTTCTCTCACATCATTTACTTGTTTAAGTGGGACTCGTTTGAAAGATTGAAGTGTTTTCAACATGTGTAAAAGGTATGAAACTACTTTCAAGTGAACTTCTCTCACATCATTTACTTGTTTAAGTGGGACTCGTTTGAAAGATTTAGAAGTTCACTTGAAAGTAGTTTCATACCTTTTACACATGTTGAAAACACTTCACTCTTTCAAACGAGTCCCACTTAAACAAGTAAATGATGTGAGAGAAGTTCACTTGAAAGTAGTTTCATACCTTTTACACATGTTGAAAACACTTCAAATAATTGAATGTTATGCTACTATTTACAAAAATAAAATCTGAAAGCCAATTAAAGATAAGTTCTATATATTTTTTTCAATTCACAAATGTGATTTTTGCCCTTACAATAATACAATATGGCTCCAGTAGGTAAGGAGTTAAATGAGTACAAAAAGGTCACATGGTTGGTCAAATTGACCGAGCCTGTATTGAGAGAGTTTACCGATCATAGACAAATAACACCTGACATGAACCCACAATTCTCCATACAAATCCTCACCAAAGCCAACAAGTACACTGACAGAAAGTTCAGAGAAGCTCTTCTCATCGAAGAACTACAACCACAGATGAATAGTCAAAGGATGGCCCCTATAATTTTAATTATTCTATTTTTTTACTATAGGTAGCAGTTAATTATTCCAACAATATTTTCTTTCAACAATAAGCTTTACTACTTAATCGTCAAAAGCACACTGTACAAATGTATGTTACAGATTCAAATAAATTTTATTATTTGTACCATTTGAAGCTTTGTACTGTCAGTTTCATTTTGTGTTTTAGTGAATATTCCTGAAAAAGCTGTGAAGTGAAACAATGAGTGTCTAATTAAATAAAAACATTTTTGTGTTATAAGGTTGTTTATTTCTAGCATTAATAGTTTTTGTGCTGTTTTTCCTGCTAATCTGCTGCCATCTTTAATAAAACCCAAGTAGGACTATTTCATTGTTTGTAGTGGCAAGGATTTGATACTGGATCTTCTAAAAGGAAAGTCAAATGTGTCATACACTCAAATGAGTCTTCCTCATTAGAACTCGAACCAATGTTTTCACGAAGGGTATCCAGGTTTTGACAACTTTTAGTCTAAATTGACCGAGTCATCAGTTAGGTTGAGGAAGAAGACTTTTTATCTTTCTTTTTCCTTGAAGATTGTATAATCAAGCTGATGTTTATAGCATTGACTGCATATGATACCACACTTGAGAAATAATTGTCTACCCAAGATCACATTACATTAATATAATTATCTACTCTATGTGAAATAGCCACCAATAAATAATTTCACTTTGGGCATACACAGACTATGGGTCCAGTTAAGATAAACAAATTACACAAAATATCATACAGGAGGGAAGAGATGATGTGAGAGAAGTTCACTTGAAAGTAGTTTCATACCTTTTACACATGTTGAAAACACTTCAATCTTTCAAACGAGTCCCACTTAAATAAGTAAATGATGTGATGTACTAAATTGTAGTATTTAATGAAGTTTGAAGAGAAATTTAATTTAAAAAAATCCCAAACTACGTTTGAGACTAAATAAGTGCCCTCTCAACATTTAAAAAAAAATGTTCCTTGCAGTTTAGCGCTGGTCCTGCCATCAATGATTAGTATCTAAACCTTTTTCTAGTCTGTTTTCTTTATAAAACAGCATTTGGGTTGTGTTAAACTTCAGTTGTAAAACCTTTAGCCAATCCTAGTCGAAGGTGTCAATTTCAGTACTGTATTTCACATTTGACAAATCATAGGATGATAAGCAAGGCATGTGATGAAACGTTCTTTTCTGGATTTTACCATATAAACGTGGGTGGTGATTATTGTAGTAACTGCCATTTTATGTAGAGGTTATATTTAGTAGTGGTCAATAGTACTTTTTTTATAAGCCTTAGAAAATTTGCTTCTGGAAAAAAGTGCATGGAATGTATGTAACTTTATGATTTTTCTATAGTAGCTTAAATCATGCTACACCATTTATCTACTTATATTAATCACTATATTGAAAAAAATTAATTCAAAATAGAT